AGATGACGGAGGAGTCCCATGGATACATCTCTGAAAAAAACAGAGCTTTCTCTCTCATCCTGGAGGATAGGCTTGCCATCAACACTCCTATACAGAGGATAACACTTGCTTTCCTTTATTTCTAACAGATGAGTGTAGAGCCCCAGAAACCTTGCTGTTCAGTTAGGGATATGTGAGGGAAAAGGGACATTTTCTATAACGACACTACATCATAAATTAATGGATCCTTCATTTTACAGAAGTTAATCTTAGATTTTCTTTCCCTATGTTCTGTTTCCTCTCTGCTCACACAAGAAGTTCAGTGAGTTAGTGCTTCCAGCATAATTCTCATACGCCTTACACAGAGAAAGGTTAAGATTTTACAAGAATATGGTCATTTGCGAATAGAGGTTTGTGAAGATATCATTTAAAGCTTTTTAAAAGTAAAGGTTAATGTACTGACCTGAGTCATTTTTCAGCTGAGACCTGAAAAATTGCCAGTCATTATGGACCAGACTTGTTGATTTTTATTTAGAGGCAGGATTCCTGACCAGTGATGATGAAAAGCAAACAACAAAAACTATATAGTCTTGTCTGTTTTTTGGTCTATCTTATTAGCCTTCCCCATGCTATTATTACAACAGACGGGCTGGGAAAACTGTAAAGAAAAATGATAAATCATACCTGTTACTTTCAATTCAGTCTTTGTCAAAGCATAAAAACGTAAACCATACTGATTTTCTTTCACTAAATGCAGTTAAAATCATGATGTTTTCTATTGAGGAAGTAAGTGATGTTAGTCTGTGGAATAAACGTAACTTTCATATTAAATTGTCATTATTTTATATTTCAATGCTAGTATATAAGCATACTCCCAAAATAACAGACACAAAAAAAGATTTATGAGAATATCCAGGTTCATACTAAAAGAGATTGTTTTAAATCCCAGACACTATCAGCATTACCAAGATATATTTCTATGTAAGACACTATACTTGTGGTAGAAATATGCTATTTCTAAAGGTAAGGTTTCCTGTTGTCCCATAAAATACATATTTAGTCCAAAGGAAAATTCTACTGAATGAATTGTTACCAATACCATGTACACTGTCACAAAAATGAAAAACAAAAATATGCTTTGAGAGGCAAGTTTCTATGAAATCATCCAGATGGTACTAGAACTACAACATATAGGTTCTTCCTCCCCACCATTTGCACCAAGAAACTGTAATGAGAAATAAATCAGTAAATGAATTTGAATTTGTCCTTTTTATTCTAAAGAGTTTTTATTATTAGAATGCTAGATCCCTGGAAGTGATCAATTTTCTACCATCCAGACTAAAAACTTTTAGCATCCTAAAGGCTGCTTTTTGCTTTGACCTAAGAGATGCATTTCATGTAAGATCCCAAAATAAATACAGTCCATTGAGGTGTGATTGCCTTTCTTCCTTCAGGAACAAACATGTTGCTGTTCTAGAAGGAGAGAATTCCACTTTCCACCCTGTTTTTGAGAAATCATATTACTGAAATTCAAGATAATCCCTTATCTGAAACCCTTGGTATGAGATACATGTTGTCCCGTTTTTGGAGTTTAGTACCTATACCACCTAATATGTAATACCTGAGTAGGGCCTAGGTTAGATTCCCAAAATCAACGTATTAATATTTTTTTGTAGTGAAACAAGAGTATTCCTACTAAGTAGGATAAAAGGCTGTAAATAGCTCTATGCCAGTTTAGACACGTTTGACGTCACATGACTTTTGCCACCAAACAAACGCACAGACCGCTTGGGTTTTTAAGCCTTTTGGATCTCAGAATTGCAGGAAAAGACTGTGGACCTGTGAGACACAAATAGGATGTTTGGGAGGAAAGGCCTTTAACATACACTTTGCATTAGATGACGAGAGATTCTTGCTTTTACTCCTCTTACGATTGTCCATTTTTCTATGACGCCTTATTGTTCGTCAAACACACAGGCGTATTCCCATCTCGGCGCACTGGCTTTTCCACTGGGTGTCTTCCCATCGTTGCATGACTTACTCCCTCACCTCCTGGCAGGCTTTGCTCAAATACCACCTCAGTGAGTCTTTCCCTGACCACCTATTTCCCTAGCACTCCCTGCTATGTTTTTCTGCACAATATATTTCTTGTTTATTCACTTCCTCTCTTTCCCTGAAACTACACTTAGAAGGTAAACTCCACAGAGATGGGGATCTTAGCTTTATTTACCCATTGCTGTATCTCTTGCATTTAGAACTGTGCCTGGAATATGGTGGGTACTGAGTACATGACCTATTAAAAGAGGAAGGGAATATTTGTTTCCATATACTTGGAAAAATATGCAAATATACATTCTCTTTTTTTTCTTTTTTGACCACGTATGAGTTTCTTTTAGGTGCTAGAGCTATAAGAGCAGCCAGGCTGATGCTTCCCATTTGCAGAGGGAGTTTGATGCAGGGATGAGTAGACAGGCAATAGGTAGGTCAAACAAGACGATTTCCAACGGTGATAAACGCTGTTACACTCTTGGAGGACAGTAACACAATACAGAGTAAGGATTTTTAGCTTGTGTGGTCGAGGGAAGGCCTGTGAGCTGAGCCATGAAAGACAGGAAGCAATCACCTGTGCAAAATTCTGGGGGAACTGCACTCCAGGCAGAAGGAACAGCAAATAGAAAAGCCAGGGTTGGTATTAGGAGAGAAAAGGTCAGTGTGGCTGAAGCACAAGGAGCAGGAGAAAGTACAGAGGAGGAGGAAGAGCAAGTGAATGGGGCTATGCCACAGGCTGTGACAAGGACTCAATACTTGAGTAACAATGTAAATGAATTTCTATTTTAAAGGGATCAATTTTGCTCTTTATAAAGGATAGAAAGGGAACAAGGAGACCAGTTAGAAGTTTAAAACCATGGTCTCGACAAAAGTTGATAAATGACTCTTAAGATTTTGACTTGACCAAGTAAGTGGTTAGTAAAATGGGGAAAGACCGAGGTAGAAACAAGGTATCTTGATTTAATTTTGGTTTATGTTTTGAGAATTCGGTGAGTCCCACTGCCTGAGGGCTTTGACCTCCACAAAGAGGTCACGCTGGATAAATAAATGTGGGAATCATCAGCATAGGAAGCCAATGGAAGGTTAACAATGGACAAGGCACTAGGAGAGAAGCCAGATAGAGAAGAGAACATTAGTGCACTTGATAGATACAAAGAACACATCAGACCATGAAGACTCTTAACAACTAATTTATTTTAAAATAAACTATTAATTGTAGAAAATAGTAACAAAGCAATTTTAAATGTACAGTTTTAACCAATACAAAAAAGCAATAAAGCAATACCTGAAGCCTTATGTAAGTAATCTCAACATATGATCTGTGAAGTTCCTAAAACTCTGGCCACTAACTCTAACGTAAACCTTTATTAGCTAAAGACCCAGAAATATGGTAGCCCTTGACCTAAAAGCTAACTGATTTGTATGATGTTCATGCAGAAACTAATGAGGAAATGGGAGAAAGCTTTCTAGTGCCTTTGTTATCAAGATAACAAGTTTGAAACTTAACCGAGCACAAAATAAAATGTCATTTTCTAACAAATAAGACCAGAATTCTTTTTAAAAAGAATTCTGGGTAGACAAAGTGATTTTTCCTAAAAGCTAGCTGATGCTACCTTAAATATCACCTAATTTAAATTATACCATCTCTAAATAAGTTAATCACACAAGATAGTTTAAATACACCTTTAGGTGCTGGGGTGGGGGGGAGTGCCTCTTTTTCTAATGTAGCTGTTTTAAGTTGAAGCTTTTGCACAAAATCAGATAGAAACATGAATGCCTAACCCAAAGACCTTTGATTACTTGCAATTTTGGAGTAGAAATGATGTGGCTTTGAATATGCCAGTGTTAGACCATACTGACTTAAAAAAAAAAAAAGATAAATAGACAATTGCCAGCTCAAAAGATACATGGAAGACATGTACAATTCCCGAGAAAACACACCCCTTCCCAAGTTTAGGAGGGCAGAATAATTGCTGAGATGCAATTAAACAAACCTCTAAGAAAGAAAAATTAAGGCTCCTATAGTTAACAGTCTGTGGAGTAAAATTATTTTAGGTCTTGATTCTTCGGACCCAGAAACATTAGAAAGTGCACTTGGGATATCCTGTCTTAGGGCCCTCTATGGCAAAGCTCTAGCTGAACACTTTATTTTCCAAGTACTAGATGGGTACTTCCTGAATTCGGGGTTCTGAATGGTTTATAAAAACCAAGAGTACTATTAATAACCCTCACTTTAAAGCAGGAGTTGGATGGAGAAAAGGATCAATAAATTCTTACAAGTCCTGAGGTATGAAATCTGTATCAGTAGTATGACAACATCATTTGTTTATACTCTGCTTTCTGCTTGTATTTTAAAACTAAAATTTATAAAACAAGCACACAGTACATCAAATTCCATTAGTAAACTAAAATCTAATGTGTAAAAATTAGTAATTTTGTTTTTCTAGTTTCTAATATCAGTTTTAGCAGAAGAGTTCAGGATCACTTGGGTGAGGGGGAAGTAGTCAGCCAAATTGCATTTGGAAGACAGGACACATATTCTAAGGGCGTTCATGTTAAATTAAAAAATATATAAATATAAATTAATAAAATAATAGCAAACATCACATATATGCCACAAGAAAAGACAAAGTACTCAAATAGGCCTGGGTTGCTGGGATGCCCCTCCCAGGGCATCCTCGCCGTTTGTAGAGCACAACAATTATATTTTGGAAATGAAAACATCTGCTACAACTTTCTAAATGGCAGTATTTACACAAGATTTTCAATCTTGTGCAATAACAATGTATATTCTACTGACTACGACGTTGCAAGTGGCTTAGGAATCCCCTGCACGCACAGGCAAGCCCATCTGCACACTCGAGATCCAATATCCGTAAAAAGAGCTGAAGATCATATCCAATGTGGCCGTAAACAGAACCTGGGAGAGTCACACAGTCTGCTCTGTGAGAGACAATGAGGCCACAGGTGTATACGGTGCCCAGTGAGGTCATGGGATCCTCATTTTTCTTCCCTGTTTGAGGTATCCATGCTATCGTTCATTTTTTGCTTCTGCATTCGTGTTCGGGTAGATGCTGGAAAAAGGATGCAGAAATGTTAACAGCACTGATGGTGCTGGATGCGTTGACAAAGGGCGGCCATAAACGTTAGGCTTGTGCCAAATCGATGGAGTTCAGGGCCTGGCAAAGCAGTGGTTTCCAAAATTTTATCATATAATTTCTATCAGTACATTTTTTTTCCCAAGTATGTACCACCAAAATATGTATGGTGTGTGTGTATACCATCTATGTTTGTAGATAAGTTATAAAACACACACAGCCCAAACATCAAAAACAGAGGAGATAAAAACAGATTCTAGTATTTTCTCTATGTACCAAGAGGTGGTCTCGCATACTTGCAGGCGTGCCCAGCTCTGCAGACTACCGCTCCAGAGATGCTGAGGCTGGGTTTGGCCCTGTGGCCCAGCCGAATGCCGGCCTGGCCGAGAATGATCTGTTGGAGGGAGTGGTATTCGTCACCAAGCAAGTAATTCCCTTGTGCTTGCAGATACCTCGCAAAGACGTCAGCTGGCAGCTCATTTAATTCGGACATGAACGTTTTAAAAGTACGGTATTAGTTACAACACAGCCAAAACCAGAAAACTTCTTTTAAGTTATTTAAAAATTCTTAACTTGATTTTTGTGGTGGGCAGAAGCTCTTCATAAAGAGGAAACAAATTCGCATTTGGAAAAGAAAGAAAATACGAATTCTCAGTCTTCCCCCTCTCGGCAACCTAGCACTGTCTGATGGTCTTCTTTGAATGCAATTCAAGTCTTTGAGGAAAACGGAAGAATTCCTTAGCCTTAGGGGTTAACATTCCTGCTGCTTCTCCCCAATTTTCCAGCCTCAGAAAGGTCCTGAACTCCAGCCTGGCACTGAGAATTCACCATCACAGCTGAGTGTGCCACTGGAAAATGTACTGACAACAGCAACTGAACTCTTCTCTAAGAAAATATGCGTGTTTTTACAGCTTTCTGCTCCTTTTAAAATGCGTATTTGTGAGCTTCCAAATGCCTCCAAATGTTTTCAAAGCTTCATTTTGGTCATAAACTTCATGTCTATTTTCACATAATGAGGGGAAATGCCACAACTACTTAAAAGTTAAAATAGGTGTGTGTCAGTTGATGTAAAATACAAAAAAGATTTATTTATAACCAAAAAATTTAAACTCTTGGTATATTTAGTTTTAATTGTACTCTTTGAAATAACACATAGATAAGGTTTTAAAAAATCAAAAGCATTCTTTTTGGTTTTTTTATTATTTTTTTTTAATTTTAGAGAGAGACAGAGAGTGCATGTGAGCAGGGGAAAGGGGCAGATGGAGAGAGAATCTTAAGCAGGCTCTGTACCTACGTGGGGCTTGATCCAACGACTCTGGGTGGGATCACGACCTGAGCTAAAGTCAAGAGTTGGATGGATGCTCAACTGAGTCACCCTAGCGCCCCAAAAAACATTCTTTTAAATACTTTATAGTTTAAATACTTCGTATTGGGGCGCCTGGGTGGCGCAGTCGGTTAAGCGTCCGACTTCAGCCAGGTCACGATCTCGCGGTCCGTGAGTTCGAGCCCCGC